GGCACGTCTGCAGGCACCGAGCGTGCACATCTGCAAGCCGACTAGTGGAATATATAAGTTACCGTATATACTCGAGTATAAGCCGAGATTTTCAGCCCATTTTTTTGGGTGAAAAGTGCCCCCCTCAGCTTATACTCGAGTCAGCGCCAGCGCGTCTTCTTACTTACCTCGCCGAGCGTCGCGTCACTGCTGCTCGGTGTGCGGCGCTCCGAGCGGGGTCATCTGGCAGTCTCCGGGTCCTAATTTAGGTGGCCGGAGACTGCCAGATGACCCCGCTCGGAGCGCCGCACACCGGAGCAGCAGCGACGCTCGGCGAGGTAAGTAAGAAGAAAAAAAAACCCCCCGCAGCGGCCAGTCAGGCAGGGGAGCAGGGATGAGTCAGCGGCGCGCTGATCAGGCGAGAGGAGCTCCAGGTGGGGTTGTAATTTAGCGGGCAGGCACCTCTGAGCCAGCTAAATTAGGACCCCACCTGGAGCTCCTCTCGTCTGATCAGCGCGCCGCTGACTCGTCCCTGCTCTCTCCGTGATGTGATGATCCGATCACCGGCACACAGTGAGTGAGGGGAGGGGAGGGGGGGGGGGGGTAGAGAGAGAGATTAATTAAGCAATTATATATGTATTGTCTGCACTGTATTAGCAGTATATACTCTATATGGAGTATATACTGCTAACACAGTGCAGACAATACATTTACAATTATACTAACATGAATGTATTAAATGATCTGTATGTAGCCCTGTACTATGGATCATTTAACCCATTCATGTTAGCAGAGGATCATTGTAAATGTATTGTTGCAGGCACTCTATATGTACATGTACTATATACTACATATAGAGTGCACTGAACAATAGATTTACAATTATCCTCTGCTAATATGAATGGGTTAAATGATCCGTAGTACATGATATGTAGCCCTGTACCCCCTTTTCCACTTACAGAGCTAGGTTATTTTTCTTTTAAATAAATATTAATGTATTTTAATGGTATCTATCTACCAGTAGCTGCCTCATTTCCCACCCTCGGCTTATATTCGGGTCAATACTTTTTCCCAGTTTTTTTGGCTAAAAGTAGGTACCTCGGCTTATATTCGGGACGGCTTATACTCGAGTATATACGGTACTCATATCGTGGAATAAACTGCAAAATGACCGTAAAAACTAAAAACTAAAATATATGGCGCAGTACTCAGGCAAAGAAAACTGCAACATAAAAAAATGTAAACTGCTAAAATTAAGTATTCCCCAGAATGGGCTTCTTCTGGGACAAAAGTTCCATGTGGCCCTTCTGATAACAAACAGAAATACAATCACACTGCAAAGCTTGCAGATAGGACAGTTTGGCATTTGAAGTGAATAAATCAAATATTCTCCTGTTGGTTCTTCTTCCAATCAAAAGAGTCTATGTGAAGGTCTTAGTGCAATCTCAGATTTTTTTTTACCCTGGGAAGGTCAGGGAGATTTTTCTTCGATAGGAGGTGGGCCCCTTGGCATGCTGTGGCCCTGGAAATTTGTATAAGTCCTTGCATGTCAATTTGTGGATAGTTAGCCGGGTTCAGAATGAGGTTTGGAGAATTCTGCATGATCAGGCGGTTCAGCTACAACTCCGGTGTTAAGGCGATTGGTCAATCTCGGTTTTTCAGCTTCATATTCATCCCACGCCGCCTTCCTCTCCTCCTCTGTGAACGCTTCTTTCTCCTTGTGGTCCAGGAGAGAGTCATGTTCATGGTAGGTGACTATTTTCTCCTTACTAATCTGCAGAAGCTCAGCAAGTATAGTGTGCCTCGGCAGCTTGGGGGTCTCCCTCTTCTTCTCAGGATTAGTGTCATCTAGCAGGTCCAGCTCAAACGTGTACAGCTCTGTAAGCTCGTTCATGGTGACGCTTTATCTGCTGCTGGTCAACCACCCAAAATAAGGATTGCTTGGTGAGCTGCCAATCATAAATTTTCTCTTCCATGGTCCCCTGTGCCAAAAAGCGGTACACAAAGACAGCCTTGGTCTGAACATACTCTGTATATCATAAGATGGATTCCACGAAGCATCATCACACGATTAGCAGCCACCAGATTTATACCCAGGGATCCGGCCTTCGTAGAAATGAGTAACAGCACCCCCTCACATTGGTGACGTCATTGAACTCCTCGGCCCGCTTCTTCCAGGTCGGAGCGGTGGTTGACCCGTCCAGTCGGTAGAAGTCAATATTCCGGAACCACTTCCCTTTATAAATAACGGGTCTGGGTTCTGTTCCTTCCTCCTCCTCTTCAGGTTTATCCATGCTTGCCAGTTCTAGAAAATCTTCAATCAGGTCCAACGATATGAGAGACTGGCTTAAAACTAAAACTTTATCACCGAGCTCTTCCGCCATACGAATCTCAAACAGAAGGCTAATCTTTCCAGAATGTTCCAGCACAATTGCGTCGGCTTCCGTCACAAAATCTTTGTACCAGTTAGGAGCCAGGCTGCTGGGAGTGGAGGACGATGTCGCTTTGCTTTTCTCCACGTTGACGGGAGGAGTTTTTGTCGCCTCCTCTGCATCTTTAGGATTTCCTCCGCAGGATAGAGAATTCCACACCTTGATGACTTCCATGTTCTGGTCACTTTCCTCCTCGATGGAGCTGCTGGAGTTCCCTCCTTTCTTCTTTGATTTCTTTGTCACAGAGGTTTCTTCTTCAGAACTCAGACTGGAGATGGTTTCCGCAGAGTCAGTCCAGGTGTAAGCACCAAGGGTGAGTCCAGATCAACCTTAAAATCTGAAAGTCCTGGAAAAGTCTGGTGCCAGATTTACCTCGGCCTCGGCCTCTTCCTCCTCCACCCTCACCAATAGCAGCACCTGTAATATTATCCAGATAGTACTGATAGAGTTTACACTGGATGGGTGTCATCCGCACTGAGAGAACGTATTCATACTTCGGAGGCAAGAACTACGTAAAAGCCGTGTGATCTCTTCTCCTGGAGTCACTGGAGTCCTCCTGCACTTGAATCCATCTTCTCTTCTTCTGCCTCTGCTTGTAGCTTCTTTGGTTTTCCTCAGCCTCCTTCTTTGCTGCCCTGGTTCTGGGCCGTTGATCGTCATCAGTCTCTCTGTCTTCCTCGCTGACATCAGAAACTTTGCTGGCAGATTCATCACTGCTTACCTTTCTTCGGTTTCGCAGTTTTCCATCTTTAGAAAGCGCAGACTTGTCTTTCTTTTTCTTGCCATCCGATTCGCCTTTGCTCAGGGACGGCTTGTGCCACACCAGGCGATGTCTGTATCGGGGCTTCTTCTCAGATTCAGAGTCACTGTCCAAGTCTGAACGGTTTTCATTGGTCTGATCATCATCGTCTTTGTCTTTCTGAGACTTCACCTTCTTCTCTTTCTTGCCTTCTTCAGGCTCATCAGAAGATTCTTCATCATCATAAGACAGATGGTCTTGGATTTCCTCCAGATGCATTTTCTTGGTGATCCAGAACAATGTTAGTGAGTAGCCTGCCGAATAGACCGAACAGCAGTGAGTAGCCTGCCGAATAGACCGAACAGCAGTGAGTAGCCTGCCGAATAGACCGAACAGCAGTGAGTAGCCTGCCGAATAGACCGAACAGCAGTGAGTAGCCTGCCGAATAGACCGAACAGCAGTGAGTAGCCTGCCGAATAGACCGAACAGCAGTGAGTAGCCTGCCGAATAGACCGAACAGCAGTGAGTAGCCTGCCGAATAGACCGAACAGCAGTGAGTAGCCTGCCGAATAGACCGAACAGCAGTGAGTAGCCTGCCGAATAGACCGAACAGCAGTGAGTAGCCTGCCGAATAGACCGAACAGCAGTGAGTAGCCTGCCGAATAGACCGAACAGCAGACGGCTCACTTCACTTGGGGTCGGTTGTTCACTCGGCTGCCCTTGGCAGCTTAGTGAATAGACCCCTAGATTGATGAGCGGTAAAAGCTTTTAAAGCATTGCCTATGGCCAATTTTAGGCATGGTAGGTTTTTTTTGCGATTTCGCAAGCGCACGCAATTTTGAAGCTTGAGCTGTTTTGTATCTATTTCCCGACGTGACCCCGTCTTTTATATTTAAAAAAAAAATTGGATAATAATAAATGTTTCATAACATAATGTAGGGAAACATTTTTTTTCAAAATGTTCAGTTATAAAGTAAAAGATAAAAACACCAGTGGTGATTAAATACCACCAAAAGAAAGCTCTATGTATCCACCAAAAAATTGTATAAAGTTCCTTTCAGTACAGCGTTGCATGACGGAATAAATGTTAGTTGAAGTACTGCAGCGCTGAATACTGAAAAATGGCCTGGACAAGAAGGAGGTTTAAAACCCCGGTCAGCAAGTGGTTAAAACATTTGATATATGTTTGATTGGGAATTAAATATGGGTTTGAAAGATTTGCAAATCATTTCATTCTGTTTTTATGTAGATTTTACACAGCATCCAGATTTTTTTGGAATAAATATAAGTTCTAACACTATTGATCCAGAAGTAGGCAAATAGAACTACAGCTGCCTACCTAGCCCTATGTATGGACCGGGTGCTTATTATAGTTTTAATTTGCCATTATTCCAAAGTCATTCTGCTGTTTGAGACTATTGTTATCTCTCATATGCCAAAACAGCAGTATAAATAGGCCAAATGTTTTTTTATAACTACACAGATGAAGTTTGTGTACTGCTGAGCTGTAAATGCAGTTGAGGGGAAACACAGTCTAAAGCTAGCCATACACCTTACAATTATCTGCAGATTTTCTATGGTCAGATGGAAAAAGTGCAACAGATTCCTCCATCTACGCTAAACTGTATGGATGGAGTAATCTCCACCTGGGCCAATCTGTTGCACTTTTTCCATCTGACCACAGAAAATCTGCAGATAATTGTAAGGTGTATGGGCACCTTAAGGCTTGGGCAAGGTTTCTACAATTACTTGTATGCTGTTTAATTTTTCAGCATAAAAATTGTAATTTCAGGAAACCTGGTCTCAATGGTTTGGTAATGTGTTACCAGCGAATGGATAATTCCTCTTACCAACATACTCGTAGCCTTGTCTAGTGTTCTCCATTTGAATGTAGTTTATCCGATTATTCTGAGATTTTGCAGACTGATAGGCGTTCAGCAAAATTTGTGACTTTTCACCATAGACACCGCTTGGCCGGATGAAACAAGTAGTTAATTTCTTTCCATTGCTCATCTGCAAAGTAATAACATAAAAACTACATTCCAAAAGATGGTTACATGGGAAAGCTGACAAACAGCATAGGAAGAGATTACCAAACTGTAGTTCAATTCTGATTGCCATCTCTTTCAGCAATTGACCCCTTTGCTGCTTTTTTTGTCTTATTTGGGGGAATTTTTTTGTCTTATTTTCATCTTTTATTTTATTTTGTAGTTGATTTGAGGTCAGTGGTTACTTTTAGCTACTGTCCCATCTATAGCATTTTTTTAATGCTGCAAAGAGGAGGGGTGGTATTTGGGGTTTTAAATTTAAATTGGGGGTACATAATTTAGGATTTTATGGTGAGCCCCTCACATTATCTTACTGAAATTCACCGTACCACCCTATCCCCATGAATGAAATAAAAGTTAGGCATACTCGGTTAGGCCTATTATCCATTAATAAAACAGTCCTGTTGCTGGCAGATTTTACTGCTGTATCTCCTTGAATCCATCCAAAATCAAGCTGCATTTGCCCATCAATACAAGCGCAATTTCATGAAGAAATACCATTTTGTTATCAGCATGGAAAGGGGTTTATTTAGGAGGATCACACTTTGATTATCTTTGGTAAGGCCCAAATTCTGTACAAGTAAAGAGATATGCAGGAATAGTATGTACTGCATAAAAAATGTCATAACCCTGCATACACAATACCACTGCTTCCTGTTGACATTGTGAAGTGGCACTGCTATTGCCTGAGAGCCCATGCAAAATTTAACTTTCATTCAATGTTACTTGAAACAAATATATGTGTACAGTACATGAAATATAACTCATTCCATACTACTTGAACTGTTTATTAAAGTACATACCTGCTTACCATTTGCCAAGTGGACTAATTTTTCAGCCTTGGCCTTTGTTTTACCATAAGTCAGTAAGAGCTCACCATGATAGATTGTTTCCTCTGTGACTCTTAAAACAAAATGAACAGGACGTTTTAAATGAATATAGACGGCAAGATATATTATCATACTTCCATAACTTTGATATGGAGTCAATTCTTAAAGCACATTTTTAAAGAGTAAAGTTTTACTAGGAGGATTATTAAGAAGTGTATAAAAATTGATGTACTGTAGATAACTTTATTATGAAACCACGGATCTCAGGGTGATTTTTTTCTCTATAGTTTCTTTTTACTTTACGTTTGGAAATAAGCAATTATGACCACATTGCCCATGTCTTACTTTTGAAAATTTGCAGTGTGTTAATGTACACATGTTAAAATGTGGTATTTGCAGTTATGTTAAAGTTATGTTTAGGGTGTATCATGAACCATAATCACATTCATTCACAGATTCCCCACACACACACACACACACACACACACACTTTATTGAATTGCCGGGTGCTTAACCCTGGGGCGTTATGTTGATTTTTACATTTAGATCAGCTGTGCATCAGCTCCACCCAGCTCCATGTGTCATCTATTTACAGAACTATCCACAGGGATTTGTGAATGGTAAAACTGCAAGTCTTAAGATGCCCATACACCTTACGATTATCGGACGAAACTTTTCGTCCGATGATCGAACCGTCGTACGATTTTCGTACGATGGCCCCATCCTGCCCCGATTATCGCAAGGTTCAATCAGCGGTAGTTAGAAAAAAACACCTGGACGACTTGCGGTAATTGACCGCAATTATTTTCGTTTGCGCATGCGCAGTGTTAATCGTACGACTTTTGACGGACGGAAACGCCACCAACCATGCGAACATCGTACGATCAACCAAAGTTTTCAAACATGCTTGACCGTCAAAAGTCGTACGATTGTACAGTACTATCGGTCGGGCACTCTATTCACACGTTACGATTGTCGTACGAAAAGTCGATCACATACGATTATCGTACGATAATCGTAAGGTGTATGGGCACCTTTATCATGGCATGGCAACTGACAGATCTCAATGGAACACAAGTGTGGTGATGTCATTGCACTTGTTGTCAATTGATTACTTTCTCCAGTCCTACTGCAAAAGGTCTCTACCCCCATACAGACCTGGGGCTGGAAGGTTAACAATGCAGATGCACTGGGCTCATTTGCAAATGCTCTGTAAAATATAACATAGCTTCTAAGGTGCAGGTGTCAGGACTATTTAATATACCAAATAGTGCATAAAATACAAGACTCATGACTGTGTTGTATGAAAAGTGTAGCGATCAGGACTAGTCAATACACAACATAGCATATAGAGTGAAGTGGCCAAGTTTATGTAGAGTTTACAAAGCAAAAGTCAGAACTAATGTACAACATAGCACATACAGTGCAGCAGTCAGGAGTACAAAGGTCAGGAATATGTGATTGCACAGTACAGCTTGCACAGTGCGATAATCAGTGGTAAGTGTCCCTGTTGGAGGTCAGTGTGCTCCTTTCATTATTGGTCAGCATTCCTCTTTACACATTGGTGGCCAGTTCTCAGCATGCTCTTTTACATTGTTGGCCAGTGTTTCCCCCAACATTGGTAGTCAGAGTGCACCCTTACATTGCTCACTGGTGGTCAGGACTAAGTGTGCACTTTACATTGCATTGGTCATCAATATGTCCCCTTACATTGTTGGTAAGTGTGCCCTCTTATGTCAGTGGTCTGTGCTCAGCGTTCAGTGTGCCTCTTACACTAGAGGTCATGGCTCAGTGTGTCCCTTATGTTGTTGGTCAATGTCCCCACGTACATTTGTGGTCAGTGTGCCTCCTTGCGTTGCTGGTCAGTGCTCAGTGTATTCTCTTACACTGATGGTCAGTGCTCAGTGTGTACCATTCTGTTAGTGGTCAGTAAGCCCCCTTCTATTTGTGGTCAGCATGTCCCTTTACATTGGTGGTCAGTATGTCCCTTTACATTGGTGGTCAGTATGTCCCCTTCCAATTGTGGGCAGTGTGTCACTTTCTGGTCATTGTGTTTAATTCAGTTAGTGGTCAGTGTTTCCCCTTAAGTTAATGGCTATTGTCCTCTGACATTGGTGGTCAGTGTGTCCCCATACCTGGGTGGACATTATGTCTTTTTATAGGTTAGCTATCAGGGTGTCCCTTACATTAGTGGGCAGTGTCTTCCTTTACATTGATGGTCAGTGCTCAAGTTCTCACCCTGGCTGCCCCGCTCTTCACAAGCAATCATCAGAAGCATCCTTATGCAGGTGGGGAGAGAGCAGGCCAGATGGTGGTCACATGCAGAACCATTATGTCCCTGGCGCTAATTTTGAGGCCAGTAAATTGCATATTTAATAGGCGCCTATTCCTCCCAGCGAAATACATACGCATAGGCTACGGAATAAGAGCACTGCCCTCCCCAAGAACCCAGGTCAGCCAGGGGAAGTGGCTCACAACCAATCTGACAGGCATAAGGTGGCAGTGTAGGCTCCGCACTAAGAAGTAATTAAATTACATTGTGGGCCAGTTGCATTCTTGGAACCCGGGGCACTGAACATCAGATGTGGAACACATGCTCCGGGTGACCGTCGCAAGAAATTCCACTGGATGACTCATAACTGTGCATTGTGGTGTACTGAAACCACATGTGTTGAGAGGCACTGGCATGGTGTTTTGGGGTCCCATTCAAAATAAATGTCACTGTAAAACACCAAAACAAGGACTGTGCATTACCCTGTGTTGTGATACTATGGGGTCTATTCACAAAGCTGCCGAAGGATCTGGCCGTAGCTTCGGCCGATCCTTCGGCTGGCTTCGGCCCCAGGAACTGGGTGTTACTGCAACACAAACATTGTTTTTTTAATTGTATATATTTAATCATAGGGACTGTTTATTGGATACAGGTCCTCTCAAGTGTTTTCCCCCGCCCTGCGTGGCATGCTCTTTTAGTGGGGTTGGTGTTAGTTCACAACTAGCTATGACTAAGGCCGAGTAAGGCAGAAACGTGTGTGGAATAAAGTGCATGTGGAATAAAGTTTAAATTTCTTCGGGAGATTATCGTGTGCTGGTTCCACAGTTTTTGAGCCTATTACTCCGGAAGAGAGTCATCCGTGCACTGAATGTGGATTGCAGGGAAGCATGATAGGGGTGAGCAGTGCGCTTCCTGTTTTCAGCTTACAGCAACACAGGTGTGAAGCCACACTGACATGTGTACATCATGCTTACTTTTAGTAAATCAGAACATAGAATCCCCACGGCATTATGCTGGGACCTAATGCATGTTGCACATCGTCATCAGGGCCGGAAACGCTGCCCCGACAAGTAAGTTGAGACAGAGAGACACTGCACAGGTCAGCGCTGCTGCGGCCGGCGGCGACTCGTCCCTCAGATGCTGCCCGCAGCTGTAGCCCAAACTGAGCTCGATTGGACGGCTGGAGCCGGACTTATGCCGGCGCCCGGCGACTGTCACCGTCAATTTTCCAAATACATACATACACACACACACACATATATGAACAGAACAGTGATAAGAGAAATACCTGTATTACCCAGACTGATAAAACTTTGACACAGAGTTCAGTAACCTTGGCCGTGAGAATGGCTGAGCACCTAATTTAGAGGTATTTACTAATGAATGCGTGTTATCAGCTTTTCAGGCTCCTTTTAACTCTTCAAGCAAGGATGATATCAGCAACATAAATGCTCCATCTGCTTCAGAATGGATTACAAATTAACGCAGCGTGACGTGTATGCCACCATGGAAATATTATGCATTAATATTGCTCAGTTTTAGAATGTTTACAATCAACACTTGCTTTTACATTTACAGCAACTGCAGGCAACACGTAAAGTGAACTACTAGACATGTAAGCCGGCAAAAAAATTTGTTTCGGATGTTACGTTATTTATTTTTCTGGGATTCGGGTTTGAAACACAGCCATTTTGCTTATGGCTATTTTAAAGTGTAAAAGCAAGCTGGCTATTACTCTGCCCACTGCCTTGCGTCAATTGTCAAAAATGTGTGTTTTGTTCAATTAAAGGAATTTTTTTCTAAGGTGTTGTGTATTTATTTAAATTTTATTTAACCCCTTATTTGTTCACAAGGGGGGGGGGGGGCATCCGGGTACCCAGATGAGCCCCTTTGCCCATAGACCCCCACAACTACCGCGTCAGGGTTGTGGGGAAGAGGCCCTTGTCCCCATTGGGACCCCCCCTGGAAAAGCACCCTCCCAATGCCAAGGGCATGTGGCCCGGTATGTTGAATTGAGTGGGGGGCGCTCGCTCGTCCCGCCCTTTTTTGACCTGCCAGGCTACTGCCCGGACTAAGGGGGTGGTATGGGATTTTAGGGGGTATCCCATTTTTTTAAAACTTTTTTGGCGTTGGGGTTCCCTCCTAAAATTCCTACAGGACCTAAAGTGTCTGGTATAAATTGCCGTGGAACTGCACGCTGTTGTTGTTTCTTTTTACATGGGGTCCCCCCTAACACTCCTTTTAGGTCTGGTATAAATTGGGGGAGGGGGGAGGACTCCACGCTGTTTTAAAAAAAATGATTATGATTTCTGTGAACAGTTAAACACTTGTGTATTCTGTAAAAGCTGTCAGGTTCTTTACATTTGGGATGGAAGTGTCCTCAAAGAAGCAGAAGCTGTTACAGAATAACACAGATCTCTCAGCTTCTTTCATCATTTACATTTTGTAACAAAATTGTGTTACTTTGTTTTCATTTGAAATACAAGTGCAGGGAAGCCAGAGAGCTGTAAATTATTATTATTATTATTATACTACAGGATTTATATAGCGCCAACAGTTTGAGCTGTGCTTTATGTAAATGACAGCTCTCCTGCCTGTGTTTAGTTTCCAAATGAAATTTGGATGTATCCAAATTTTGTTATCAAACATTCGGATTCGTTCAGATTCGTTATTTCTGTCATTCGGATGCGTCTGAATGTCCGAATTGACAGAAACGAATTACACATGTCTGTGAACTAGTAATTCCAGTAATTCCAATAATTCTGCAGATTGTTTTTTCAAAGTAGACCTGGAGGATGGAAAGAATTATAACTAAATGAATACAAGGCATGGGGGACCTCAACTATAAAGACTAATAAAATGGAACCAGCGCATTCTTGAGGTGATCAAGCACAAATATCACACACACACACACACACACACACACACACACACACACACACACACACACACACACTAGTATATTTCACAAAAAGGTTTGGATGTATTCCTAAAAAAGGTACAAAATATACATGACTGCTTACATTTAAAACATTTTTTTAAATCATTTTTCTTTGGTCGGCAGGGGAATGGTAGGAATGTGAACTTTTTTTTCACAGAAGGTCTGCTTTAACAGTTAGGGGTCAACTAAAGGCTTACATGATGGTTAGGGGACATGTTGGAGCACACCTAATTTTTAGCCTATTTTCAGCTCTAAAAGCCCCATGGCACCAACAAGGAGTGTAAGGTCCTCTCCAAAGGAAACTAAAGTATCATCAAACTGACTTTCCTGAACTCTAATTCTGCTTGCCTATAGGTGTACACTGTGGAATTTGAATATACATCAGTTGACTGTTGATGTATGATGATGAAATGTGCTTTATGAGAGTTGTATAATTCAGGGATTTTTATACTACTGATGGTAACTGCATGCAGTTACTACTTGGTTTACAAAAAATATGCCCTCTTCTATCTATTATCATAAATGTCAGAAAAATAGAATGGGGAAGATGTTAGCTAGTAGAATCCCTTTAACGTAATGATCACTATCTTTCTGAAGGGTCAGTGACCAGCATTACACACATAGTTCAATTAACAACTAGTTTCCTTAGCTTCAGCAAAACAGTTATTAAAGCCAGATGGTGATACAACTACATGGGAAATATAGTGTGGGAGGGAATCAAAGGTGGGGTCAGCTTAAAGAGCACCTGTCATAAAAGAAGTAGAGAGACAGAGATTGCTGTTCACCTTCTGAAATGGCTGTCTGTGTGGGGGCTTTATAGTGTCAGAACTCAGAATTCCATATCTTCTACTGTTTATTCGATCCCGGTCAGTAAAACTCAGTATGCATTATAGACAAAGCATCAGTAGGAGAAACTAACATAGCAGTGGCAGCCCTCATGGTACATATATGTTCCACCATTGCCCACCCTTAGCAATTTAATAAATCACCACTGGATTGCATGTTTAGTAAACCCCTCATTATCTGGCAGTCTATCAACTGGCACTCTCAAGCAATCTGCAAAAAAAATCAAGGACAAATATGCTCTCGTTTTTTTGCGCCTGCTTGATAGACATGGGGACACTAAAAAAAATGTAAGTTCTTTGTTGACATTCTGCTGCCAGCCGGTGGCTAGATTCCTGGGTCTTCAGCAGAATGTAAACAATGGGGAGCAAAAGCCAGCCTGCTATAGGCTTATTCAAGTTGCAATAGCCAAAAGCAGGCTGGCTGTTGCACGCACCCACTGAGCAGAGGAGCGGACCTGAGAGGCTCTCTCTCAGGTCCGCTCCTCTGCTCAGTGGGTGGATTTTGCCAGGGGATGGGGGTGTGGGCCCCGGGGGGTTGGTTGAGAGTTATTATTAACTCCCTAGCAACCAAAAACTACAATTATCCGGCACCTATCGATCCCCGTGGGAGCCAGATAACTGGGAGTTTACTGTATGTAGACAGGAAGTGGCTACAAAAAGACTCGCTGAGATGCAAGGAATAATGAAAAAGTCCAGAAGAAAAAAAAAAACCATGGCAGATATTTAGAATACATAGTTCTTTAGAAAAGTAAGTGTCATTCAATAAAGGTCCAATAAAGGCCCATTTACATTTGTGGGCTGCTTTTGAATGAGCTCCCTAACACACCAGAAAAGGTGAATGCACTACATTTAGCAGTGCACCACAATTAAATAGTGCACTATAGTGCTCTGTGGTGTGTTGGATACCATTCAGAATAAATGGTAGAACAGCCCACCAACACACAACGTGCACGTTACTGCTATGCAATACAGTAGTGTAAATCCGGCCTTACTGTTTTTATAAATCCTTTAATACTATATAGGAAGGATGTTTATTGTATCTGCTAAATCATTATTTTTGTCCCCATTTCACATTCTAGTATCGAGTGCAGAGTTCTGTTTGGTTCACGTTGTATAGCAAATATACCAACTACAATGTCTGTCTCACAAGCAGCTGCTAGAGAGAGAATCAACACACATAATGGGTTTAATCACAGAGAGGAGTTTAATTAAAGTGGAACTAAAAACTTAATTTAAAAAAACTGCTAGAAAGTAGAATGATTTTTTTGCAGAAGCGGCATGTAAAAAGACTGCTTCTTCTCGCAGTTTTTCAAAAATATTTTATGTCTATTGTATGGCACATATGTTGAATCTTACAGATGCCGTCTGATGTGATGGGTGGACTGAGGGCTCTGATGTGAACGGAGGTGGGCATGGGGCTCTTATGTGAAAGGGGGACCACACTTTTTTTGTGTTTTTGCATTGGGTCCCCTCTTTAAAATCCATTCCATTTTAGACTGGAGCCCTTCGAGAGCTTGCATACATTTAAAGGGTTCTATGACTGCCAACGGGTTGGGAAATGCTGGTCACATTCAGTCAGCTGAAGGAAGGCACACTTGGAATGTAAGTGTGCCGTAATGTGCCTACTTGCACATTATGGTAAGAGCCCACCTGCCATCACAGACGATGAAATTAAATATAATTTTCATATAATTGATAGCTAAAATGTGGAAGTGTCTTACCCCTCCATTGGATCTAAATTTGTGTTTGGTCCAACAGCAGCTATTGAGCTTGTGTACAGTAAGAAGGGGACAGCTGAGGCCAGACAAGCTTTTATAACATTCTCTGTCCCTGCAAAGAAAAATAAAAAAAATTGAAGTCCTACTTTCTAGATAATCACTGTAGCCACGCTTAGGGCCCATTCACCCCAGGTGCATTGGAGCTGAGCTGGCAGCCTTGTCCTGCATAGTCCCAACACACAGACAAAAAAAAAAATGAAAATGTGCGATGCATTGCGATTGGTGCATCAGTAGTGTTCCCTTTCACCCCTGACCCTGCATTTAGCATGGCATTCTGGCATGAACCCGCCCTTACAGCCCAGGCCCATCTAAAGCCAAACTTTTTTTTTTTTTTTCTAGTTTTTAATAGAGTAGGGAAGAGGCAACACTCCTCGGGTTTTTATTGCAGTCTGTGTGTCCATCTGGGAGATTCACCCCTCCATTTTTCTTGCTGCTCTTTATCACCAAGACTGAAAATGAAGGAAAATCCCACATTTTAATGTTATGAGCAGAAAAGGAAAAGAGGGGAAATCTTCCAATGGGAACACTTGTTGAAGTTGTGCCCCACTCTAGAGAGATTACGTCTCTCTCCCTTTTGTATCTATAGGACAGGAAGTCCCCAATGAGGCACACATGGCAAAAAACCTACCAGGAATTTCAACCCTTCTAGGGATGTTCAGATACCAAGTAATGTATTCGGTACAAGTACATGTACAGATACTTTTCCAGCTCCAGGACTAGGCTAAAGAAAAATTAAAAAGTTAGGAGGCAGCTGCTATTTTTAAGGAGCATACGGAGCTCCTAGGATTTGTACATTTCATTTTAATGCATTCTTTTTTTTTTTTTTAATAAAACATATAGAAGTGATGCACCCATACCATTTTTCCAAGTACAAGTACTGATACTTGTCCATGCACTCACAGATACAAGTACTGATACATTTTTGTTTATTGTCATGTGACAGTTTTTCTAAAACAATACAGAGTCCCAACTGCAACTGCTGCAACCCTGGTAGTTCTCATGAAAATGCCAAGTATCGGCACTGGTATCGGCACTGGTATCTGGACATCCCTAAAGCCTTCCCTACTCTGTCCAAATTAACAAAAATACGGGCTTGGCTTTTAGATACAGTTTAACATACAAATAGAAACATTCCACTAGATATGAGACAGGCTTCACAAACCTCCCGCTCTTTGGAGGAGCATTTACTGCATAGATTTAAAAACTGCTTCGACTCTATTGTTCCTCTTCAATAAAAATAGTGATGACAGTGTCAGTCTGTACTGCTTTGCTCTCCTGCCAATGCCAATTCTACAATCCCCAACAGTAAACATGGAAACCCAGCCAAGTATTTTTCATGTTTATATGAATCCTGGGGAACAGAGATGCCAAAGAGCGGTCAGATCATGGCTGCAGGATTGTATTTAGAAACTGTACTGTCCTGAGCATACCTGAATAATAATGTCATTTTATTACAAGCTCTGCCCCTTGTCATGGGATTATTTTAGCAAAGACTACTGTTAGAATGTACTATAGGAGGCAATGTGCTTTCTGCTTTATAGGTAATTTTTTTAAATTGTACAGATCACCAGACAAGAAAAACTTGTTGAAAAGATGTTTTCATGATTTCTGAACTAAATAGAACCTTCTGACTCCTTTTAGCATTCCTTGCACTTCTTTTCCCCTACAGTACTCTTTACTTGACCGCTCATGTTCAGAGGGGGAGCGAAGTAAGAAACAAATGAGAAAAAAGTTATCACAGCTGGTACATTTTCAGACTTGCTGCTGCCCCTCTAACCGTGTAGCCAGAGGCAATAGCCCACAAGTACCCATATAGTAATTACAGCTTGTAATGCACACATTACCACAATGCATGGCAATGTGCAATGCAATGCCCTTGTCAATGCAATTCCAAACCTTTTTTGGCATTAGTTCTCTTTTGGGTCACAGGAGTCCATTAGCAAATGTATTCCTTTGGCACAAAACCCAGCAAATATTGCACAGAGCCGCACTGCAGCCAGAAAGGATCCCGACAATATTGTCGGCATCCTCCCTGCTACCTGATTGACACCTGGCTCTACCTCTCTAGAGCCAAAGCCAGCTGTGCTTGCCCCCTCCCCTGCCTGTCCCTCCAATGAATGCTGGAGGAGCAGAGAGGGGAGGGAAACAGTGACCACTCTATGCAGGGAGAAGATTGTGAGCTCAGCAATCAGCAGTTTGTGATTGCTCAGTTCTCGATCTATAGAGCCGATGTATGACAGCTGCAGTGTCACACGTCACCTCTGTGGAGATGAGTGCATTTCACTCTCCCCATAGTTCTCCTTCTACACAACGCACGGCAAAACATTGACCACCCTGTACTAGCTATCCCCACTATATAGAATAGTTACATATAATGCAGTGAAACACAAGTAGGGTTTATATTTCTTTAAACTTGCCTCCAACATTTATAGCTTCTTTTTCCTTTAATGGATGTTCATCCAAAAAATCCACAAGAGCAGCTGCATGAATGACAACATGGACATTTTTAAAAGCTTTCAGAACTTGGTTATAGTCAGTAATTTCTCCTTTAATGAAGGTAATTGTGGTAGAACCTGTTGTGTGATAGAATGAAATACAGAAAAGTGAAGATTCAAAACTGAGATCATCTAAACCTTATACATAAAAACTAGCCACCCAGCTACCTGATTGACAGCTGGCCCTGCTTCTCTAGCGGCAGAGCCAAAAGTGCCATTCCCTGTCTGTCTCTCCAGCAGGGGCTGACTGGCAACTTTTAGCCCAGGGTGCAAGTACAACCCAGAGGCCCATGGTGCAGCGACTTGGCCCACCTCCTGCTTTGCCTGTTCTCCCTGTCCCTGCCTGCCACTTTTGCCATCCATGTTAAGGTAGTGTCAATGGTCAGGTGATGTGAGGGCTCACTAGTCAGTCCATGAAAGGGGTGACTGGCTGGGGGATGGGCTGCTGCACATTATACAGCAATGCAGAATATTACAACCAGCTATAGAGGACTACAAATTCCAGCAATACATTATACAGTAATGCAGAATAATAGTATAATAATTTGCTACATATTCTTTGCTCTGCTCCGGGGTGTCAGCCTGATGTCTTAGTCAGAGGGTCTCAGGAGGAGTGTGGAGGTCTCAGAAGGGGGGGTGTGGGTCTCAGTATGTAACCTAGTGCAGAGGTCAGCGGTCAGTATTTAACCCAGTGCAGAGGTCAGTGGTCAGTATGTAGCCCAGTGCAGAGGTGGTCAGTATGTAACCCAGTGCAGAGGTCAGCGGTCAGTATGTAACCCAGTGCAGAGGTCAGCGGTCAGTATGTAACCCAGTGCAGAGGTCAGTGGTCAGTATGTAACGCAGTGCAGAGGTCACTATGTAATGCAGTGCATCAGTCAGCATGTAACGCAGTGCATTAGTCAGCATGTAGCGCAGTGCAGCGGTCAGTATGTATCACAGTGCAGAGGTCAGCGGTCAGTAACGCAGTGCAGCAAGCATGTAATGCAATGCAGCAGTCGGTATATAACGCAGTGCAGCAGTCAGCATGTAATGCAGTGCAGTGGTCAGTAACATAGAGCAGCAGTCAGCATATAGCGCAGTGCAGCAGTCAGCATGTAACGCAGTGCAGCAGTCAGTGGTCAGTAACGTAGTGCAGCAGTCAGCATGTAATGCAGTGCAGCTGTCGGTATGTAATGCAGTGCAGCAGTCAGAATGTAATGCAGTGTAGCAGTCAGCATGTAACGCAGTGCAGCGGTCAGTAACATAGTGGGGCAGTCAACATGTAACGCAGTGCAGAGGTCAGCGGTCAGTAACGCAGTGCAGCAGCCAGCATGAAACGCAGTGCAGCGGTCGGTATGTAACGCAGTGCAGCAGTCAGCATGTAACATAGTGCAGCAGTCAGCATGTAACGCAGCGGTCAGTAATGCAGTGCAGCAGTCAGCATGTAATGCAGTGTAGCAGTCAGCATGTAACGCAGTGCATCAGTCAGCATGTAACGCAGTGCAGCAGTCAGCATGTAACGCAGTGCAGCGGTCAGTAACGCAGTGCTGCAGTCAGCATGTAACGCAGTGCAGTGGTCAGTAACATAGTACAGCAGTCGGCATTTAACACAGTGCAGCAGTCAGCATGTAATGCAGTGCAGCAGTCAGCATGTATCGCAGTGCATCGGTCAGTAACGCAGTCCAGCATGTAACGCAGTGCAGCAGTCAGCACGTAACGCCGTGCAGAGGTCAGTAATGGTCTCTCACATAAAAATACCTGTTCATAAAATTTAAACACATATCTGTAGTAACATTATACATTGGGCAGTCAGACCTTGTGGTGATATCCTGCAAAAATATCTTTCTGATCATGAATAGAAAACTATTGCTTCTGTGCTGCTTTATATGATATAAAGCCTACAGTAGTTAGCCTAGATCCCATGGTCCCTGCCTATTAGAAGAATTGTGGATGCTTTTTTACAGACTATGGAGGTTCCATTGGTTTTAATCACAGACTTTGCAAGGTAGACATGCAGTGAAATAAGAGCATCGGGAATAGTAACATAACATGATGCAATACCACTAAGCAGGTATAAGAGCCTGTGTAAGTAATATGCCAATATGGTCACCTGCATGTACATATGTAATTACAGCTAAAAATAAGTTTAAAAAAATAAATCATAAGATTATGTACATTAGGGCCTGTGTTGATGGACTTTGGGCTTTAGTTACTGGCATTAGTTTAGGACACTAGTGACATGTGCATTTGACCTGCAGTTGACCTCCTTCTGACCTTCCGAAAGCAGGTTTTGCATTCTCATACTCTATCATAATCTATCTAATGCACATTAAAGAGACAATGTTTTCCGGAATTATCAATTCCATTCGACATGCATAACTGTTCATATTTACCCAGGGGCGGACTGACAACACATGGGGCCCCCGGGCAATACAAGATTATGGGGCCCCCTTGTGCTCCGCCCATATACAAGTCCCTCCCACACGCCCCACCTGCATAGACATTCTTGTGTCACAGAAATTTTTTCTCCACATTATTCTTCAAATAGTGGGCCAATTCACTAAGATGAATTGCCGGGGAACTGGCTGTCTATGCTTCTGGGCTGTGAGCTGTGGGAGGTTAGTGGGAGGGGCCGGACAGTGTCAAAGTCAGTGTTCTATAATTTTTCTCGATCCTATACATTTTCTCCACTGTGTCACTTCCAGTGTGGCCGAGTCATCCGAATCAGCTGTTTTCATGACATGCGCACCTGGAAGAGACGCTGTAGAGAAATTTATCGGTTGAGGAAAATTATAGCACACTGGTAGTGTAGGGATGCCTCGTCAGTGCTGTGCGCGTGTACGACTGCTGCGACCCTGGTAGTTCTGCCACTAACTCCAAGCTGTAGAGGGACTACAAATCTCAGCACATTATACAGCAATGCAGAATAATACCACCAGCTATAGAGGACTATAAATCCCAGCAATACATTATAAAGCAATGCACAATACCACCAGCTATTGAGGAATACATTATACATACATTGAGGGGAATTTATCAAAACTGGAGCAGACAAAATCTGGGGCAGCTGTGCATGGCAACCAATCAGCTTCTCTCTGTCATTTTCACACCTTAATTGAACAAACTAAAGAGAGAAGCTGATTGGTTGCCATAGGCAACGGCTCCAGATTTTGTCTGCTCCAGTTTTGATAAATTCCCCCCAGTGTATAATGTATTGCTAGGATTTGTCATCCTCTATAGCTGATGGTACATTGCTGTGTATAATATACAGCACAATGTACCATCAGCTATAGAGGACGACAAATCCCACTCTCCCAGCAATACATTAAAGAGCACCATGTGGGGGGGACCAGGAAACCAAAACCTTCCTTCTGACACCAGCTCCGGAGCCACTTGTTAAGCTCCCTCAACTCGCGCTGAGCTCCCTCAACTCGCGCTGATTATGTTCCCAGGGACATTTAAAAATGTCCCTGGACTTTATTTTTAAAATCTTGTCACCTTACCCTGGTGGGGGCTCTCCTGGTGGTCAGTGGGGGGCTCCCTGGACCCTGGTTGTGGGGGGACTGCTGTGGCCGCCGTTGCAGTGGCTTCCAGCCAGCCCGGATTGCCTTGTATGCAATCCGGGCCGGTAATCAGGCATTGTAGAGGGCAGCCCGCTGGGGACCTGCCGAGGACCCCCTTGAGGAGCGAGCAGCCGGCTATTACAGAGCTGCATCTGACGCGGGAGGGCTGATCGGGTGCAGATGGCAGAGAGGTAGCGGCGAGGGGACGATCAGTGACGGGCCCCCTGATGGCCGCGGGCCCTCGGTCCGTGCCCGACTGCCCGAATGGTCAGTCCGCCCCTGTATTAACCCACATTTAGGTAAAAAAAGGTTAAAAAAAACTATTAACCCAAGTATAATAAAACAATAATAAAATAAAACATACCTCCTCTTAAATCTTTAATAAATTCACCTTCATTTACATCAAAAATCTTCACTTCTTTCACATATTCTTCTTTGTGCAGAAATGTTACAATATGTTCACCAATGAAACCAGAACCACCAGTCACCAGGTAAACCAGATTGTTAGCCATACTAATGACTGGTTAATTAGATCCTGAAAAAGAAAATATACCTCTAATTTATGATATAAAATTTGGTTCTGCAGCTGTGACTTAGAACATATGTACAGTCATTTTGTTTTTAGCTTTGGATAGTCTGGAGGGCTTAGAACCCTTTTTAGGTTAATATTGCTGTTTGAGTCTGTACTGGGAAGATTTATCCTATGAATTGGTCTTGATGACTATTGTCTCTGGTGCAGAAACAGATGGAAAAATCCAAACTTGATTGCAATAAATGAAAGAAGCATTATGTGTGTGTGTGTGTGCTGTCCAATGTTGTCTTCATTTTAACAAAAGAAACTAGAAAGAGAGGGGGATATCAGGAGTGTAGCTGTGCTTAAGATGGTCTTCTTTGAGAGAAAGGTGGGTGTTCACAGCCATAGAATGAATAAAGTATTGCCCCAGTCAGCAAATTTGGAGAAAGTTGGCAGTCCCTATCAATCATTCATGTGATGGCCAGCAGAAGTTTATATGCAGGTGAGAAAATGTTGTAAATCCCCCCCCCCCCCCCCCCCAAAAAAAAAACAGTTTTGACATTATTTCTCTCTGGAGAAATGCTGTAAGGTCTTCTATTGTCTTATTTTCATTGGTTGAAGGAAATTATAAGGGTAGGGACCTAAGGGTTTCGCAGATAGACATTGAGGGATGATTTGCATCGTTTCAGCAGAAACTTCATAATATGAAGTAGATAACCCATTGGGTTACCAATACCGACAGAGGTGAGATGAAGCATTAGTTTGTGAACTTCAGATCAAAGTGAAGACATCAAAGAGCAGTTCCAGAAGACGTGGAGTATTGTGCCTGGTTTTGCTTGTCATCTCTAATAGGTCTAATTGCAGCCTTGTTTCTGGAAAGTTAGCTATAGATGACTTATGTGCGAACAGGATGACCTTGTCAATTTGCAAATGTGTTTATGATGTTTGCAGGTCAGCTTCCTACTTGCATATGTATGGAGGGAAATATCCATATGGGGAGGGAGTAGGTGGTGTCCTGACAGGGATTTTCAAACTGGGTGGTAGGTCAGGAAAGTTGGTTGTGACCTGGAACAGATTTTAAATTGTGTCAGACTTGATATGTGGCCCATACGTCTAAATGTGGTGAGATCAGATGTTCAATTTCTCTTTGGCTCAGCTAGTGAAATAAATAGGAGGGAACATACAGTATATGGGAGAACAAATTACTGTGGTACATCAATAGGATGTGTTTAAATCCGGTATAAAGATCTGAGGCAAGGTGCTCATCTTAAAGGCACTGCTTCTCCCAAACCATGTTGGAGCCATTGATTGCTAGTGATGGAGGTCTATGTAGATTTTGGTAAGCAGGGGGAAAACATTTGCTTTAAAAATTTGCGCAGGATCAGGGGTGATTTTGGTTCCCATTTAACTAAGGCAAGCATGGGCCCAGTTGAAGGGGAACTCTCTCTGTAGTGCTACCATTCTACCAGGGGTGTGGGAGATGTTGAGGAACTCTGATTTGGCATCATTTAGAACTGTTCCGTCAGGGAAGCCCAGCAAGCAGTCATAGAACAGGTACTGTGAGAGCCATTGAATATGCGCGTGTGAGACGGTTTCATGCTAGTAATGCTAGTAATCGTGCACATGTGCACGGCGCTCACGCAGATTGGTGTGCACGTGCTAATCATGGCACCAAAAGGCCTATTTAAACTTGCATCCTGCATGCACTCAGTGCTGAGAGTTCTTCAGCTAGTGTCTAGCGTTGATCAATATAGAGGTGCACAAAGCAGAGAAGTATGCATGATGTGGAATCTGTCCCAGTTGGTGACTGGTCTAGTTGTGTATTGCAACACAGGAGTGGGCTTAGAGGTGACACAAGGTGCCCCAAACAACATAGAAGGGTTGGCTGTCTGTGAAGTAAGCATCATATGCGCTATAACTGAGTGAGTATTACGATGGGAGGCACATTTAGAGTTACAGAGTACAGTCTTTATTTATAGCATATGGATAATATAAAAAGCCCTACATTATTCATCATATAGGGTATAGACAGTGTGTACAATTTTTACAAAATTTCACCCTCTCTTTTCTAAATGCACTGCTTAGAAATATGCATTCAGTTTCAGGAAATCAATACAAATAAAATCAGTGTAACCTGATAAAAATACAGGTTTTATGTGAAATCTTTTTCCTGGGAGGAATTCTGTAACCAGATCCTACTTACATCTACTGTAACTGATGTAACGGCCTTTTGATCCCATACACTGATATTTATCTGCCAAGTTCTAATATAATTCTAGTGCAATAGAAGCTGCAATTTAATACTGCTCCGTAAAAAGATTGTGAATTCATGTGTACATAATAAATGACATTCAATTCATCTTGTCCATCATGCAAAGTGGAGTTCTAGCCAAACCTTGTTTTCCCTTAGTAATGGTCAGACTGGAAAAGACTTACTATTTGTCCCAAAGGCACAACAGAAAAGCTTTAGGGTAATTCAAAAAGTTTGAAGTCTGGAAAGGTAATTTGAGGGGGCAACACAAAAATTAAGCTATATGGGACTTTTAGGATTTGTTCACACCAGCAAGCAATGCTGACTGGACAGCCACTGTTGTGTGGTGAAAGAAACAGTGCTGAATGCATATGACATTTCATTCAGTTCCAACAGCCACAGTGTGGTGTGATGCGGTTGTACTCCATTGCACCACAATGCCCTGAATAAACGTACTGGATGCAGTACTTTTTTCAGCACACACCAACATAAGGCGAATCGCCTTGTCTTTGCATTGGGACTGTGATGTAGCCCAAGTGCCTTCCAGCCCAACCCCAGTGCAATTGGTGTGAGCCAGTGAAGACCTTAAAGTGAAAAATCTCACATGGATATTACCTATGTTTTTCAACATTTATGAATCAGAGGGTTTAAAGTTGTCCGGGGTTCTCAATGTGTTTCATGGACTTCTTCAGAATAACATGGAGGATCATGTGTAATTTCTATATAGCAGTGCCTTACAGCAGAAGAACTCCAGGCAAGCCAAAAACTTACCCTTGCAGTGGAGCTACCTTGCACTGCAAGGGATAAGTGCTGCTTTTGTCTAGGGGGCTCAAATAAAGCTGTATTACTTACCTAATCCTCAGTTCTGTTGGTTCCCTCCGGGCTGCTAGATCCTCTCCTCCTGTGGACTCTGGCGGTCTAAGGACCACTTATGTTATCACATATTATGCAGGTCCATTGACCTGCAATAGAAATGAGGAAGCCACGGAACATGTCACAGTCAGAGCGGAGGGGAGTAGAGGCGAGTTCTGACCGTCACGGGAGCAAGGATCAGATGAGTTTTTCTAATTCATAGACAAAATGAGCACTTAACCCTTGCAGTGTGGGGGTAGCCCCCCGGCAAGTGTACATTTTGGTTACATTCCTGGAGTTGTTCTTTAAATCACTCATCATCCTCACTGATTCAAATGGAAGGGTCATATAATCTTCTGTGCTTAGGTGTGTAAAGAAGATTATAGACGAGGCTGCTAATCTAACTGCAAACCACAAGAAATTGTACTTCCTCAAATGGTAGAATCCCTGATGTATAGACTGCGGCAAAAATCCCAATAGAAAATACCTTCCCTGCTGTGCAAAATGGCAAATACTTACATATAGCATACTATAATGTATATGTAATTCCAATGGGGCAGGCAGACAGACACAGATGGAGTAGAGCTGCAGACCCAGGTCTGGTCATTGACCTGCATCATGCCATAAAAATAACTAACAGAGTTAATTAGGGTTATTCACAGAAGGGTGAAGAGTTTGGAGAGGGCAGGAGAAGAGAACAATCTAGGGCAACATAGCTGAACTGGAAAGTGAGCTGAATTGGAAAATGTTTCCAGTTCAGCTATGTTGTCCTAGATTGGTCACTTCTCCTGCCTTCTCCAAACTCTTCACATTTTGTGAATATCCCTGTTAATCTCCATTTCTATTGCACAGTGCAATTAAAATATGTCTGTTTTTAAAATATACACTATCTGATCTTATATATACAAGCCACCTTAAAAGTCCTATATGGGTTCATGTTCCATATGTTAAAGAAAAACTCTGGGAAGAATACAAATTGACCCTTGCAGTGGGGCTACCTCCTCCGCACTGCAAGGGTAGTAGTAGTAGTAGTAGCAGTGGTGGTGGTTGAGATTTGTTTTACCAGTTTATTTTAGTTTTGTCCACCTCTGGACAGAGAAATTGGGAGTGCTGGAGGATAGAAAACTGTTTTTATTGAGAAAACATAGAAAAGGAAGTGATAATAGTGGGAAAAAGTATTTCCTGAGAGGCATGCCTGATTTTATTTCTGTTTTGTTGCTTTGACACATTTTCTCTAAGAAAGACATGAACATTGAGACAGGGGAGTGATGAGATAAGTAGAATGTTTGTTTTATTGTAGTACAGGAGAATTGTGCCAGCAGTAAAGAGCAGAGTATCGGCATCCATGAACGGTAATAGAACCCCCATGCTGCACCTAGGTTAATAGTTGTCTGAGGCGATGGTTACGGGGGGGGCGCTGGCATGT